GATAATTAACTTATAATTATTGTAATTTTCATACGGAAGGAATTGTTTTTAATGTCTTAAGCTGCTCCTTTAGTGCAATTTGAAAGTAAAAAATAGTTGCAACGTGCTACGAAGAAAATCGGAATCGTGCAGAAATTTTAGATGAAGATTAATTTTAAAAAGCGTCTCATATATTTAAAATAACACACATAAATCAGGATCATGGTCTGAACTCCTTAATCCAGAATATTCATATTTTATACAAAAATAAAAATACATAAATCTCTATTGTAATCTTTTAATGGTAAGCGTGGTGTGTCTGTTAATTTTTTAGATTTCTTAGAATGATATCAGTTAACATTTCTTGGTTTTATTATTATTTTTATTTTATTTTAATTTACATTTAATTTACCTTTCTTAACTTTGTGATTATTACTTGCAGATTGGCTCTTATTCTTTGACTTGCTATAAATTTCTTTCAACACTCAGACTTATTACGGACATCTTCAAATTATACTATGACTATTGGAATTTCTGACGCGGTATGAAAGGTAGAACGGACACCATCCATATAGCTGTTTGACTCATTACAATTTTCACTATCTACTACACTGAAGAGAACTCAAATTCGGGAAGTCAAAACGTTTGCATTTGTATGAAATGTTAAACAAGTACACGGAGAGAATTTTCTTTTAAAATTTACCCTGAAAATCATGTTAATTGTGAGACAATATAGTATTTAGGTAAATTTTAATTACTGTGCACTACAATAAATTTTACTGCGAAATCTTATTGTAATGCACAGTAAAATTTGCCTAAATACTATATTGTCTCATAATTAACATGATTTGCAGGGTAAATTAAAAAAAAAATTCTCTCCGTGTACATTCCTTACGCCTTGTAAAAATGTTTTATATTATTTACGCACTTACAACTGCGGCGGTTCGCATATTTTATTCTTGATATTTAATTTATTTTTGGAGCCTAATTGTAATTATTTCTAATTGAATATAATTAATTATATGATTATAATATAATTAATTATAATGACTATATGTATCAATGATGGAGATCTTAATAATTTTATTGTTTATTTGCAATTGTGTTTAATTTAAACTATACATAATAATTAATGTCAGCCTAATATTATGGAATACTTATTTATCGAACTGTCAAAGATAATACTGGTTTGATATTAAAAGTATTCAAAACGTAAAGTCTAAAATCGGAACATAAGACATCTTTAGAACATCTTATCTCCCAATTTTAAACTTTATCTGGAAATTGTGTTAGTGGAAAATACTCCAGTACAGTGTAATTTTGACGAAGTGCGGAATAGTAATAATTGGGAAGAATGGAAGATTGCAATGGAAAATAAATTAGAATCATTAAATAAACACGAAGTATGGGATATATGTGAACGTCCAAAAAATATTAAAACAGTAAAAAATAAATAAGTATTTTGCACTAAAAAAGATAAAAATAATAAAATTAAATATAAAGCTAGATTTCTATCTCACAACAAAAGAAAAGACTTTTATGTCTGTAAACTAATATATATTTTTCTGCCTTTCATTGTTCATTCAAAATCGAGATAAAAAATAATCCAACTTTACCAGTATGATGCGCAGCAGCGGAGATTGAATAACTAACCTGTAAACAATACAAATATATTCTTTATAAAATAGCGTTCAAAAGATAAATAACATTTTAAGAAATAATCATTTCTCTAAATAAATACTTAACAGAAGATTTACTCGTAAATAAAAGTAAACAGTAATTTTCATTAAAGTTGATAAGTAAAATAAAAGTTATTTTTTAATTTTAAAAACAACTCTCATAAAAGTTGATAAGTAAAATTCTAATAAATTTCTAATTTTTCTTTAAAAATAATATTAATTTTTAATAAATCATTAAATAAAATTAACAGCATTAATTAAAATTAAACTTGTTAATTTAACGGTATTAAAGAAACAAATACATCATGCTCTTATTTTAATAAAATGTTATTTGTTTTATTAATAATGTTGACTCAAGATTACTTTCAGTTAGATTTCTATTAATTAATGCGCTGTTAGTCAATACAACATCATTTAATTTCGCGTGTATAATCAAAAAATAAATACAAATGGGTTAAAAACTCAGACATGCATCTGTCATCCAACGAATTTCAAATATTATTATAAACATTTTAATTTGGGGTTTCAAGAAAAAATATATGTACATCATATCGCCCAACGATGTACATAAAATAGCGCAAAGAAACGGTGAAAAGAATACGCTAAATAACGCTAAAAAGTTTTTTAAACAAGCCACAATTATGCTTACCCACGGTTGCTCCGCTCGTCGCCTGATGCCACCCCGGGCCTCCTCCTCCTCTCTTGTCGCTTGTTTATTTTTTTTTTTTGCCCAAGCCCAACACTCGCGCTCGCGACGGATTACGGCACCGTTTCAGGGAAAAAAAAAAGAAATATCACGTTCGCCCGACACTCTGCACACGGCATTCCCGAAATCAGGCACACTCGCTTTCCTCCCCCGCAGGCCTCCTCCTCCTCTCACGCATCTGTAAATCCACGAATATTACAAATATGATTATAAACATTTTATTCTGAGGTTTCAAGAAAAAATAATATACGCGTCAACTCATATCGCCCAACGATGTCCAGATAAAATAGGGCGAAGAAACGGTGAAAAGAATCGCGCCGAATAACGCAAACAAATTTTTTAAGCGAGCCACAATTAAATCATATGCTTACCCATGGTTGCTCCGCCCGTCGCCTGATGCCACCCCGGGCCTCCTCCTCGTCCTCTCTTGTCGCTTGTCCATTTTTTTCGCCCAACACTCGCGACGAATTACGGCGCCGTTTCAGGGAAAAACAAAAGAAATATCACGTTCGCCGACACTCGATCTGCACACGGCACTCCCGAAATCAGGCACGCACGCTTTCCGCCTGCAGGAAATGGGCGACCCTTCCCTTCGCGTATACGACGCGGAAAAACGAATCGCGGAAATCACGATCCGTTCGCGGGACGCCCGCGGTCTAAATTCTACGCCATTCGCCAATCGCCACGCGGCGTCGCGACGCCCACACCTGTTGATACCTAGGGCACTCAGCGATTCCTACAACGATTACCGCCCCCCCCCCCCTCTTCTTCCTCTCCCCCCCCCCTCCCCTCCCCTCGCCTATTGCAACGATCTTATTGCGATACTGCATATAATTGTAATGAGCGCACGAACGAATTCATGTATTATACGAATGTAAATGCACGAGCCACAAATTAAGACGAATATCCGAGGTACGCGAAAAAATGGCGTGTCGCCCCCCCCCCCCGATTCGGCGGAGTCGCCGCGGTCGCGAACGTTTCGATCGAAGGAATCACGCGGAGCACGCGTCCCGAGCCGTCGACGGTGCCGATTTCACCGGCCTCACGGCTAACAAAGACCGGATCAATCGCGGTCGCACTGCGACCAAACGAACGCGTCGCGACGCTAAACAACAACACAATTCGCACAGCCGACCCCGTCCCACGTCCAACGCGTCCGCGACCCTCCCCCGCAAAGACTGAGATTTTTGAAAGTGTTGCCGGCGTCCTCACAACGATGGCGCGGTACGTCGCCAGTCAATTAAGATTTAAAATTGAGACCACTTGAAAAGATCGAAGAGGGAATTATTGAACGTGCACAATTCGGCGTATTATTAACAAGTGTGTATGTGTATTGATTAAACAAATAGCCGACGTACGTCAGAAATCTTTTATCATTTAAGGAGGTTCGATAGCAAAATCGAAATACTTCAATCTGTTTAAAAATTATATAGAATATATTCTTTAAAACGAAACTAATATCATATTAAAATTTCAAATTGACCGTATGGTTTTTAAGAAAAAAAAAAACTAAAATTAGAGTTTTATGCATGTTGTTTTATGACAGTTGCATTACATGATTAATATATCACATAATTACATACATTTAAAATGCTTCCATTTACATAAAAATTATAATAATTAGTTAGAGCAAATCTTTATTTACGTTTTTGCAAAACTTGAACTCCATCCACCATATAATTTTTTTGTATACAAGCAAGAAAGTGATGAAAGTATGCCTATTTGACATTTTAAATACTAATTACGAGGTTACATTGCTGCTTACTTCGTCTTATGACATGTATATGTGTTTGAATACATGTTCAATGCAACGACAAAGACAGATCTATGGCATACTCCCCTTGCCACCTACCCCCGCAAGTGATCTAACGAACTTCCTTAATCGATTGCTTTTGTCACGTTCCATTTGATTCGGGCGATTTGAATAGTGCTCTCGATTGCTTGAAATTAGGAGTAAAGCAAATTTTATTAGGCGAAAAACGCGTCGCGCTTCGAGAATTGTATGTGATCGAGTCTAAAAAAAAAAAGATACACAATTACAGAAATAATTACTGCAATAAAATAACAGCATTATTTCGCGTGTAACATTTATCAATACTAAAAAGCAATCGATTAAATTATAATATATAATGTGGATTTAAGAATTAAATTTTTATTTTCTTTATTTATTAAGGTTAAAAAGTTATTTATATTTCGAATAAATTTTCTTTTCTTAATTTTAAAATCCACTTCTAAAATCTACAACGGAGTTGCTTGATAATACTCTATAAAATTAATCTCTCTATAAAAAGCTGTTAATAAAATTTTAATTTGTACAAAAGCTGCATAAGAAATCACGTAATACATGATAAAATTTTGATATTTTATAATTGATTATAAATTTGACAAATTATAATTATCTCCATAATTATTGATCTAATTTTATAATTGATTATATTATTTATATCAATTAACAAGATTAATTTTTCAAAGAAACATAAGAAATGTATTTTTTCTCATCTTGATATCAATAGATTCGACGCTTTTTATATCTTATACGATGCACTCATCCACGAAGATTTATAATTGACATTTGTTCCGTTTCACTGCAAGATACATTCCTGGCTTCAGCAGCAGATTCGGCCTATCCTTCACGAGAGCCGTGGAACCGGAAGGAGCGCAACGGGACGCGACGAGGGCTCATGCCGAGCGGGCAGATCCAAGAAATCCTCTATCCCGAGCGAGAGACAATGAGGATATTGAAATCGATCACGATCATGGCAAAGACAGAAGGATCTACGGTAATCCTATCTCTTGTTATTTAAGGGGGGGTAAGGTTAATTCGGTGAAAAAAAAGGCATGTTTTTAAGAATTTTTTTTGGCGATACAGCGATATATAGTATATTCAGTCAATTTCCATATAATAATGCAACATTTGAACAATATTTTCCTAAATTTTCATTGCAAAATATTGAAAATTGAGCGAGTGACAGTGAATCTCCGGAGGCGCCTCGAAAAAACACGGTATACATCATAACTCGCAACAGAATCATACTGAAACAAAAAAATCAAAATGCATTTGTTAAAGGAGATGT